ACTCAGGATGCCGGCCTGCATGTCGTGTCTGCATCCTTTGTCACTTTCTTGGGCACTCTGATGTGGACTGCAGAATGGAAATGAAAGATTGTCAGCTTCATGCGACGGATACCCATGGAGACGCTGAAAGTACGACACGCCTGGAACACAGCCGGGGACATGGCCTCCAATAACAGGAGTCACATTGGTCTTGCGTGGGCTTGAAAGCGAGCAAAGTTCCATTCCAGTCAATCTGCCTCGCCATCAAACGCATGGTCGACATCCGATTACGCAAGAGATGGGTCTTACCCTGCTACCCAGCGGGGAAGGCTTCGCACGGAGTCGGCGAGCAAATATAACATGCAGTTGCTAGGATGAAGGAAAGGCGATGACGACGCAGCACTGGTGGCGGAGAGGATGGGCTCACACTCGCTAACCCGAGAGCATGAGACGTTGGCTATCAGCCTGCCTAATTTGCCTCAAAATGGGCCCTGGTTTGCAGCCAAAGGCGCCAGCTTCTGGTCACGGCGGCATTGGTTTCTCAATCAAGCTGATGCCGAGGTAAAACGAGGCAACTTGGCAGCACCGAGTGCTCAGATAAGATTACGCAGGGGCCTGGGTAGCGAGACGCGAGTCAAGGCACAAGCTCGCTGCCGACGAGCTGGTGCTTTCCCGTGGCTCAATTCATCCTGATGCATAACTCCCTCAGACGCATGGATAAGCTCTGCGGGCGCTGGGCTCCGGCCTCATGCATTGTCATTCGCATGTACAGCCCCCTGCATGCCGTATTTGCCTCTCTTGGCAAATATTGTGAGCTCTGTTGGGCCTCGCGCAAGGTATTATCATGTGGACTGAACCCGGACAGGAAACACGAAGCCTCAGGCGTGAGGGACATACGAGTTGCCGCGCCAGTGACCATATGCCACGGGCGGAGTTGCTCCATACCAGGACGGTTGCAATTGCGTCCCTCTCGGCTCTGCCAGCGTCTCATTACGCAATGGACGGAGCATCGACGCGGACAAGGCCAATACGCACTGGCTTGGGGGCCACTGTCATATGACGAGGCAAGGGTGATGATGGCGAGCCTATGGCAAAAGGGATAATGGACTTGCAGTAGCGCACTTGGAAGGCACAACAGCCCCAGCCACCAAGCCTTCACATGGAAGTCGCGGGTTTGTTACCACATCAGGATCAACTCGCGAATGCTCCGGACACGCGGCAAGTCCGTAGCAACGACTTGTCCACCTTTGGCCCTCAATCGCAGGAATCGACATATGAAGCGTTTCGGAGACGCTTAAACCGTCTCCGTGGGCTGAGTGACGGTTTCTGCGTCCGGACTCACCCTCAGACACACTCAACAGCCAGCTTCATTGACAGGTCCCAGATGGTCTTGTGGCTACTGACCCGGGCAGGTGAGTTCGAGATTGCACCATCAGCACTGATGCGAGTGTGACTCAATCGGGCCTTCTGTGGACAACCGCACTGGATGCCTCCGCCCGGTGGCCTCCTTGCTCGCCATTTGTGAGGCGTTGAGTTATGCCCAGTTTCAGGGGGCCTGCAGGATGCAGTCGGCCACGCCCAACGACTTTGTGTTAGCCGATCACTTGCCCACAGTTGGTTTGACACGCTGCAAACGGAAAGGACGGGATCTGCAACACCTCGAGGACTATGATGTTGGTCAAGTTGTCAGCTGAGCAAGATAAGGACAGGGGTGATTCCAATCCCTATCTTTACGAGAGACCTGCGCACCTCAGTGGCCGGATCAGTACCTCCGTGAGGAGATACAAGGGGGGATGCTCGAGGGTGAATGGCATTGAAATAATCTGGTCGTACGGCTTTCTCCTCCTGACCTAACTTGGTAATGCGAAGGTCGCTTGACAACGTCTTGCCGCTGGAGGTGTAATTAGCATCTGCAAGTGGGGAAGCTGGCCAGTGGATAAATGTCGAGGACCTTCCGCACCCCTCCGTGCCTCGCTCTTTTCAGTTGACCTCCCATTTCAACTTATCAACTACCCAGTTCCCTTGCGCTATGGCTGGTCCCCTAAGGTTCAAATCCTACGATCCTGCTTCTCGAAAGCCACGCAAGCCAAAGCGAATAGCTTCTGCTGCGCCCAGAAAGCATCATGGGGATAATACGGAAACTCGGCATGATGGCGCGGCCTCTCAGTCTGTCGCGGAAGGCTACTTGGAGATGAACAGTATGTTGCGAAAAGAAGCCAAGCCCGTCGAGAAAATCTTAGGTCCCTACTGACACACCGGAGACCAGAAAGATCTGATGACCGTCAATCTGACCGACCTCGATGTGTGCGACGACATCGAGTCTGTCCGGCAGCTCGTGGAAACACGCATAGCATCTACGTTGTGTGGCAATGAAGTCCGAGGACATGCGAGTACTTCATTGAGCCCAACGCCTCAACTTGACCTGTCGACTGAGACACCGGAGACCCACCCAGGCGATATCCAGAATCAAGGTAAGCCACTCTTGATACGTTTGTACAGGAGGAGAGGCTAACAACCAACACCCAGACTCTGTACTTATGGCGGAAGCCGACCCGCACGCTCAGGTCGACGGAATTGCTCCCACACTCACGACCCCGGCCTCTCTGCTAGCGGCGATGGACCTTACCGTGAATGGTGCCAATGATGTGGCACTGGCGGCGATGCGTCAGCCCAGAGCTGCTACCACGACGCAATTGCCAGATCTTTCAAGGCCCGGTGCTCACCGGCGTGGAGGTGGGGGTGTGGCCTCTATCTCCTCGCCCGCTTTGAGCATATCTCCCTCTATATCTGAGGATACTGGAAGTCCATATCTAGAGAGTCTATTCGATGATGATACGGGTTTTCAACGTTGGCTAGATACGGAACAACAGCAAGTCTCTGCACCAGGCTCCGAGCGATTGACTCGACCACTTGAAGACAGCGGGTATGATGGCAGTTCTGAGGACCAACAGGAAGCGAAGCGACCAAAACTATCCTCTACTACTGAATGTGACACCTTGCTGCACGAGCCAGATGTTTGCGAGAGTCCCTTGGCGCCAGCCGACAGTACGGTTACTGCTCACGATGCGTCTCATCAAGTGCTGCCAACACGTCACATCGAGGGCAACCCCATCAGCCCCTTTGCAAGCATTCGCTCAGGAGCGACCACTTGTTTTCCAAGACGCCCTGCTGTGAAATTCGCTACTCGTGGAGATGTCATGACAAGTCAATCTCACATTGACACCCTCTGGTCGCCACCTCCTATGGGACTACCAGCAGCGGTACGACTCAGCGGAGGGCAAGAGACAGATCAGAATGGGCAATGCAAATCATGCGCAATCTTCCGCGCTGCCCTCTTCGAAGCGCTGTCCTTGCTACACCATCCATCGCATACGGTCGTTTCGAACACCCCGCAGCACGCCAAGCCCAGGAGCAACGTCTTGAAGCGGCGCTATAGCATGCGCAAACGACCTATGCCCCTTGAGAATGGTTGCGAGGACTCGGATGACAATACTGTTGGTTACATTGACAAGCACTGCAATGAGAGTGACGATGGTGGCATCCTTTGTGATAAAAACGAAGACGATGACTCCCTGAGCGATACGGACAAAAGCAGGGACGTGTCTGTTAAGCGCCGTCGGTGGTCTGACCTTGAAGAAAGACGACTAAGAGCATGGAAGAGGGAGAACAAGTCGGAATCGTGGATCGCTTCCAAACTAAACAGAACGGTATCGGCAGTTAAACAGCAGTGGCGCAAAATGAGCGAAGAGAAGAGCAAGTATTAGCAATGCCAACTCCGTCAATTCTAACACGACCACCCGATCACGCAAGGCACACTTGACGCCAGATAGGCAGCAGCTTCCCATGCGGCACCCATTCGGAGATCATATAGAACCAAACCTCACCATCTTGTTTTTCTCAAGTTCATGCTCTTCCAAAACTAACGCTCATCGTCGTAATTTCGCCAACGGGACTCAAACACCACTCTGGCAGGCGGGCATTCGCGATCCAGGCCCCTTTAGCAGGTTGCAGCCGGAGGCCGCTGATACTCTGCCAGACCAAATATATCCCAAATGGAAATTGTCCGGGATCGGGGTGAGACCTCCTGACACGCTGGTCTTGGGCCAACATACCCAGCACCTTCGTGCGGAACGAGGCCAAGCGCGCGGAGCATAAGGCTAACCCTGCCATCGCGAACTCTGAGGAATGGCCACTTTCCAATGCCGTGCTCAAGTGCGTCCAAGAACAACCGGTAAGAAAGCTCCGCAGGTCAACGAAGTAAGTTCAGCGTCTGAAACTGAAGGCCGCAACAGGAGAACGTAAGTTGTGCACCGAGGGCATACAAACGGACAAGTCGCCTTGGGTGTTGCAGGTAATAACAACGATGCTAGCGAGATGGATTGCTTGCTGGCCCGTTGGGGGAAACACACATTTCTGGTGAAGTGGTTTGATGGTACCACTTGGTGCTTAGAAGGAACATTTTGGACTAGCAGATGCTTGGTGAGTTTGCGGCAACATATCGATGTTTCGACGCCGGAGTGGACGTCTTGGCAACTCGGCCAAGAGCCAAGCAGCGTCATTGTCTTCTGTACTTGGGTGAATATCGCGTTGCTTGGCCTATATCTCGTGGAGCGGATTGGAAAAAGTCACACTTAACGCGCCGATTTTCTTGAGCAGGATGGATATCTTTTAACAGAATTGAATGTTTTATTGCAATCATAGTTTGCCTTCGGCCAATTCTTCTGCGTTGCCGGCCCGTCTCGTGACTGTATGGTCGCCATGTATATAGGTCGACCTCTCGCACTACCCATCGTTCCTTGGTTCACTTCCTTTCAATGTCCCGACGCTCCGTCCTTCGCCAGTCATTCCACATCAGTGCTCCACTTTGCCACAAACAGGTTCGTCAGCGTACTCCTCCACCCCAGCTGCGCACCAGGTGGCCATCAACCATCCTTGAGATCACGTGCTCCGTCGCGTTTGGTCTTGTTTACATCTCCTTCTTCGCAACTTCGTCCAAGGAACATGATACGACGGCCTCAAACATGGCTCTGAGCGAGGACCAGATCAGGATCATCGCGGAAAACCCACTTGATGATGCATTGAAGAACATTCGCATTAAGTTACGCCAATGCGACGACGTGCCATCAGAGAGCATTGTTGCGAGTCTCTTGGGCGCGCTCGTCACTTCCTCAGCAGCACTCGACCTTCCTGCACCGGACGGAACTACTGACGTTGCAGAAAAGCTATTTATCATACGGCGGAATGTCCGGGGAAGTATACCGAGACTTGAAACTTTCAAGCCTCTTATTGACGTCGTCGTCACCCACGCTACCGATGTCGAAATCTGGGCAGCCGTTATCGACCTTATCAACACCCTCCATCCCCCTACACCACCTCCGTCTAGCGTCGCCCCGACATTCAAAGGCACACCTGTCAAGACCAGCTCGAGCCGACTTGCCGATAGCGAAACCCGCGACATTGTCGAAGGGGAGCTCTTCGAGGAGATTAAAAAATGCACCTTTCGCAACGTGAAGGGATTCTGCGACAAGTTTTTCAACCCCAAGAGCTGGCACAGAGAACGGAAAGCGATGCTGAGGACGATGATGACAGCACACGACGGAAAGACATGGACAGAATTTCCCTCCACTCCCGAAGAAAAACCCGTCTGGGACTGGCTTTGCTCACTGGAAGAGCGCTTCTTAGCCGAAGCACCACACAAGCTCCATACCACCAGAACTGCCAACCAGTTTAAGGAGCGCAAAGGCCAGATGGATCTCTTCTGGCAAACGCCAGCCGCGAACGCGGACGACACCTTTGAGTACAAGCACGTCCTAGTGGTTGGAGAGCAAAAGAAGTCAAACGACACGGGCAGGTTCAAGGCGACTCTCCTCCAGCTCGCGCGCTATGTTCGAGGCGTCTTCGCCGACCAGCCAACACGCCGATTTGTCCACGCCTTCTCACTCTGCGCTTCCACGATGGAGCTCTGGGTCTTCGACCGCTCTGGGCCATACAGCTCAGGCCCATTTGACATTCACGACGAGCCAGATAAGTTTGCGCGCGCTCTTGTTGGGTATGCCACAATGGATGACAATGCGATGGGCCTGGATACCTTTATTGAGCGAGAAAATGGGCGTCGTCATGTCACACTGGACGACGCAAGCGGCAATGCAATGAGGGCGAGGTTGGACACGGCGATGGTCAGGCAGCGGGCCATCGTGTGTCGGGGCACTACATGCTATGAGACCCAAAATAGCCAGGTCGCGAAGTTCTCGTGGGCATCGGATAAGCGGAAACCAGAGGCGGAACAACTGAAGCTAGCAGAAGAAAGAGGCGTCAGGGGGGTGGCCAGAGCGGTCGCCCATCGCCAGATCACTACCATTGCAGAGCTGCGGAGCGGATTGGAGTTCCCGACGCATCACAAGTTCCGACATGAGGCCATTTACTCTGAAGATCCGCCATCGGCCACCGCCAGCACGAACACGACGGATCACAAGCGCAAATCATCCTCCGACAACACGTCCGACAACGCGTCCGGATCCAAGAGGCGGCGTTCCAACAGTCAGAAGTCGAAGCTGGCCACGGAGTTTAACGACCAGTTGTCGGTCGGCAAGGCTAAGCCGAGCCTGTACATGCCCGGCGAGGACCTATGGGAGAACAGAATTTATTCCTGCCTCGTCGTCTCACCAGCCGGCCGCGTCATCAGTGACTTTAAGACGATCAAGGAACTGCTGGAGTCGATGCGAGATGCGATCAGGGCACACCAGTCTCTCTACATTACTGGCAACATTCTTCACCGCGACATCTCTTCAAATAACATTATTATTACGGAGCCTGAAAGGGCGGATGGCTTCAAGGGTATGCTCATCGACCTTGACCTAGCGAAAGTGAGAGACAGTGGCCCGAGCGGGGCGCGGCACCAGACCGGTACGATGCAGTTTATGGCCATCGAAGTACTGCGGACGGCCGATCACACCTACCGTCATGACCTCGAGTCATTCTTCTACGTTCTGCTATGGATGTGTGCACGCTGTTCATGGATCAATAGGTTTGGCCGCCGCGATGAAAAGCCGCCTCGGGAGAGCATACTGCGGAAGTGGGAGGTTGGAGGCTTCAGGGATATTGCGCGGACGAAAGCGTATCACATGAGCGTTGATGGACTTGAGGAGGTCACGGATGAGTTCCCAGAAGCCTTCCAGATCATTAAGCCTCTCTGTCTGAGGATTAGGAAGATACTCTTCCCCCTGGATAAGGACGAAAGAATGAGCGTTGGAACTCCCGCGGGAAGCCCCGATCAACTTTATAACGCCATCCTAGATGCCTATGACGAGATTATTCATAAGCTGTCAAAGGATTAAGAAGAGACTGATATGCAAGCGATAGTTGATTTTTGATAGAAAGAATAACGTATAATGCTCTTTGGAGAGTCTTCTGGGGTGTCAACACCGCCAGTGGATGTGCTACATACAAATCCACGAATCCGCCGTTAGTGACCTAATTTCCCCGATTAGCAGCCTCGTTCCTCTTTATGCTGGACGGCGAGTGATACGGCAAAAGGTCACCACAGCTGGTCGAGTTTTGCCACAGCGCAAAGGCTTTATCGCGATCGTTATAGCATTGCGTAGTCTGACCAGAGTCGTTTCGACTGGTCAGAGCATACAATCTATATGCTTTCTTCTTCCTTCCTCTGTGCCGCTCTCATAAATGGGTCAGTCAACAGCACCGTCATCAGACTCCGTTCATCAGGATTTGTCATAATCATTTTCTTGATGAGGTTAAGGAAATCCAATCTTTCCTCATCATGGGCGAACCTAGACGAGTTGCGATTCGCCTCACGCACTTCCCAAACCTTAGCTCGGTCGTAGAGGGGCGGTGCTAAAATGTCAGTATCGTGGCTACTAATCGAACCAAATGAGAAATGGCAGAGGAAACCAACCATTTTCATGTTGCCGATCTTGCGTGTTCCAAAGTTTAGGCCAAGTTTCTGGGGGAGGTCCACCAAATTGAATGGCCCGGAAAAGATAGTCTTTGAGAGAACCCCATGTCTTGGGCCGTGGGAGTACCGTCAATTTTCATTGGAAATACGCACGGTTCAAAACCGAATGTGATTATAAACCATAGTGACGTATGTACAGACACATCGACTTCATTCTCTGTTGTAAGTTGCCTACCTAGTTTGGTTTGGTAACAATCCATTCGTAGTCCTAACTGGCGGGCCGACAAATAGTCGCCATATAACGTCCAAGGCGACCACAACTCCCGCAGTCACATAACTCGACTTAGAAAATGCAACGTTTCCTGCTAACTTGGTATTCCTGTGTATTCGGAAGTCGGGAAAAATCTGGAATCATAAGCTTCAACATTGGCGGTAGCGCATACCGCATTTGGCAGCATGTTTGAACTATTCGTTAAGGAATGCTCAGCTGTGCTGACACTGTATACTGTGAACAAACTCATATGCGACAGGGCGCAGCAGAGCCGGTGCCGTCGATAGTGGAATGAGAGGTTTTGCGTGCTTACGCACATTGCACATTATTGTAAATCCTCGGTTTACGAAGCCAAAAATAAAGAAGAACAATGTGCGCCTAAACCTGCCACCCATGTAGTCGCTCTGTAGGTTTCCGCAGATTTGCTGTACACCCTATCTTGAGCCGCTGTTGCTCCTTGGCCTGACCAATACAAGAAAGGCAAGGAAAACGCCTGTATGTTGACGCATTGGAGATAGTTTTGGCCCTTCATTTCCAACTCGTATTTCAGCCAGTTACCGGTACATATTTATAATATTTGGAAGTGTTTAATTCCTAGTTTTGAAGTGAGCTGGCTAGCTACGCCCCCCTTCACCCTGATGAAGAGAAGGGCTGGGGAGTATTTGCAAACGCCAAAGAGCTTTACCCCTCAAACAATGGAAAAACCGGTCGGCCCCCGTTTTCTGCGCCACATATTACAACTACGGTATAATACGATAATACAATGCCTTGTACAAGAACAGCGATATGTACCTAGGCATACTTTCAGAGACCATGGAAGCCCCCACTATTTCCCGAACAGGGGATATCTGTAGTCAGATTAGAGGCAATTCTCGGCGGCGTTGAAGGAACTCCGTACCTGGAAGTACTGCAAAGTACTTGTTGGCAAATTTTAGACATGCATCCAGTCGCCGCCAAGACTGAGGAGTGATTGTAGTCAGCCTGAAAATGCTCTTGCACACATCCGTGGTGTTTGTCCGCATGGATGAATCATTGAATCCCTGTCGAGCTAAGCGCACACCTACTCCCTGGTCCAGCAAATCTACAGGGCTCACTTACCCTGCATTAGCAGGGGGACGGTTTTTGAAGGAATCCTTGTCATTCACTAGGGCTGAGGGACGGCCGGTTAGGTACAGGGATACTCTGGCGGTTAGAGTGGGGGTCGAGTCCAGTCGGTTTTTGGCTGCTGCAGAAAGGCCTACTACGGGATGCCAAGCGAGGTAGACAAAGCTGGTGTCGCAATTGAGAAACTTGATCCCCGGATGAATCTCGCCAACTCTGCTATTGCATTTTAAATCAGCCGACAGCACTAACGCGCTGTGGTATTGCCGTTGCCACGCACGCCGCAGCCAAAATACACCAGACCCGTGCGAATCCCCTCCAACCTTCCACTTAAAATGCGCCAATCGTAGCCCAACAACAGAGGCTAAAACTCACATTGTGGTATCAAGTGAAAATAAATTGTGCCCTTTCCTTAAGCATATTGTTCGGGTTTTAAGTGCTCACATGCAATTGTCTTGGCCACCTGCCTTACACAACTGATATCAATTAGGACATGACGAGCCCGCCTTCGCGATTGGGCAGCGACTATCCTTGTAAAGGATATCAGTCGCTGCTTGATTCCCCTGAAGGACAACCAGTGGCCACTTGGGAACCTGGCAAGATGTCTAATTTCACACTCGCCGGCTTTGCAAAACATGCGGCGGTAGCTGCCAGGCTTCACTTTCTTTCGATAGGGCAAGACCTGGAAAGTAATTCACTCGTATGTTGGCCAATGCCCACTCAAGCCAAGCTGGGAATTCATGTTGCCAAATGACACCCCACAGGGGAGCGCTCTTTTTGCCTGGTCCTGGTTTAACACCATCGGGAATCGCGAGATGTGCATGAATTGCGTTCATGTTACCATAGAGGGGGCTGTGTCGGTCCAAGCCAACCAATCTACAAGTTTTCATGAACGTCCTGCCATGATCGGTTTTCTGCAGTATTCAGGGGAGAATGTGGGTCGGCAATTTGTTAATCCGATAATCCACCAGCCAATCAGCTCCATATAAAAAGAATCTTTGTTACGTGGACATGCTCCAACACAACCTCGAGCGTCGTATCAATCAGCCATTGTTCCACGATCACCAGCATTTTATCCACCAAAACACTTATTGACTGATTGCATAACCCATGGTCATGGGGAGAAAAGAGTCTTCACCATTGGCACCGACATTCATGGTCTCTGCACCGGGAAAAGTCATAGTATTCGGCGAGCACGCCGCCGTGTTTGGCAAGCCTGCCATTGCCGCAGCCATCTCCCTCAGATCCTATCTCCTCGTAACCACCCTCTCAAAGTCCCAACGCACCGTCAAGCTGAATTTCAAAGACATCGGTTTGAATCATACATGGAAAATAGACACCCTACCATGGGGCGTTTTCCATGAACCGGAGAAGAAAAAGTTTTATTACTCTCTCGTCGACTCCCTCGACCCCGAATTACTCGAAGCTGTTATACCGCATGCAGAGGCAGTATCCAAGCATCTTCCAGAAACGCAGCGAAAAATTCATGTACGATCTGCGACCGCCTTCCTCTACCTTTTCCTTTCATTAGGCTCCCCGCTAAGCCCTGGGTTTGTTTACACTCTGCGATCCACCATTCCAATTGGTGCCGGTCTGGGTAGCAGCGCCAGTGTTTGCGTCTGCCTGAGTGCGGCGCTGCTCCTTCAAATACGGAGCCTTGCAGGTCCGCATCCTGACCAGCCTGCCGAAGAAGCCCAGGTACAGATTGAGCGTATCAGTCGTTGGGCATTCGTGGGCGAGTTGTGCATACATGGAGACCCCAGTGGAGTGGACAATGCGGTCTCTGCGGGTGGAAAGGCTGTGATTTACAAAAGAAACTACTCCGGACCGCCATCTGTCACTCCTCTCACCAAGTTCCCAAAACTACCGCTCCTCCTCGTTAACACTCAACAACCCCGATCAACAGCTACACAGGTGGATAAAGTAAGAGCATTAAAAAACAATCACCCGGTAGTGACACAGTCAATTTTAGATGGAATTGGCCATCTTACAACGTCTGCATTGGAGCTCATTTCATCTGCTGATTTAGATAGCAGTGGACTGTCCGATACTCTCGAACGCTTGGGAACTTTGATCCGTATAAACCACGGATTCCTGGTTTCACTAGGGGTCTCTCACCCTCGTCTAGAGCGCATCCGCGAGCTCGTGGATTATGCAGATATCGGCTGGACGAAACTTACCGGTGCTGGAGGTGGTGGATGTGCTATCACACTTTTCCGACCGGATGCCAAAGATGAAACAATTAAAGGGCTAGAGACGAAGTTCACTGCCGAAGGATTTCAGAAATATGAGACTATCCTAGGCGCCGACGGAGTTGCGGTGCTTTGGCCCGCTGTATTCAGAAACAACATCGGTGGAGAGGGAGGTGAAGAGATCGATCAAGAAATATTTGAGAATGTTGTTGGTGTTGAAGGTATCGAGCAACTGGTTGGAGTAGGGGCGCGTGAGGATCGGGAAGGATGGAAATTCTGGGCCCGAGCTGTTTAAGAGAAATAGGGACCAACGTACGACTGATTGACTCCTACACCAGGTAAGGACATGATGATGAGGCGACTTATTTGTGTTTGGTCTCACATAGTGGGCAAGGCACCTTGCAGCGGCTCCTCGAGAACTAGTGATGCGACTTAGTAGTACACGTACGTACGTACGTCCTGTATTTTGGCTATAGTACCGTACGTACTATCGGGTAGTACGTACGAGTACGCACATACAATTTTCCCTTTCCTTTTTAGGCAATTAAGGTAAATATCGCAGACAGAGTGCCCCTGGTTTGGTACGTACATTGTGGACCCATAGATTCCCTGATCAGGAATATCGTGGACCATCGTACGTACATAATACGTGTACTGTACAGCACCTTAATGTACGTACGTATGTACAATGCCATAGTACGTAAAGTACAACATCACTATCGAGAACGCAAATCACATTCGATGCCGAGATAGCCAGCTTACTACACATATTACTACTTGCCTAGCAAATATTGACACAATATAATTGTATTCGAGTCTCACTAGCTAGCCTTTGCATTTGCATAAAAGTTTGGGGAAAACCTAGCATAAATAGGAGAAAAACCCATAACAAGGTTGGACTGAACTCCACCAAATCCATCTCTCGGATCATAATTTAGCTCTCCTATTCATTCTAATCAGATATTTGCCCAGATTCTTTACAATCAAGATTATTACTTACACATCCGCACCCTCCCACCTATTTATTCCATCCATCTCTGTTAGCCTTGTATCTTTAAACTGCGATAATAATTCTGTACTTACCCCCCCACAACTGGGACAACACGTACACGGCTACATATTTCGCCTGTGTTAGCTTCACAAATAGCAGCTCTGGGTTTAAGAGAGGTTGGTGATGGTCCACGGCGCGGGACGCCGTTGTAGTTGTTGGTGAAGAAGATTAGGATCTAGGATTACGACATACATCATGCCCACATCGCTAACGTTACACCCCTGTTAGCTCTGGCACAAAATCGTATCTCACGAATATAGGACCATTTCTTACATTGCAGGCCTGGTCAACAAGTTCCTCCTTGGTTGGAACTGCCATTGTGAGTGCGGGTGACTGAGTTGGACGGTTTTGGAACTTAGCAGCCTGGGATTGTATAATAGTGTAAACGAAGTGATGGGTAGTGTAGAACCGATGATAAGAGGGCGAGAGGTATTGTACCATCATCCACCTTATTTATATCTCTACAGCTCCCTGGCTGGCATCGCTTCTCATCGGGGCCCGGGCATGTATGGTTGAAGATGCGCAGGCAGCCGTTTTCCATTCCAGGCCTTTTGACCGTTACGAATGCCCTGCTGTCAGCGCTGCGCGTGACTGTTTTTCTTTTCACGGCCAAGTCTGGAAATGTACACGACGTCTCACCAAGAAAGAAGACAAGGTTGCGTATTTTCACAAATGCAATTCTTGGGTTCATGAACTGATGGGCCATTAACAAGCATAATGGACAGGGATCACAAGTTGTAGTCGCTGATGCGAGGCAGGACCAGGATCATGCATGCTATTAATCGTCTTGTCCCGCGCGTCTCAGTGCATATCAAATACTTACTCTTACCATGCCCGTCCTACTCGCGAAGACCTTCGTCCGTTTCCTCGCTACTTGCTAGCACAGTCCTTTCACTTTCGTCAGGCAAGTAATGGTGTGTTGGTGGATCTGTTTCCACTTGTTCCTTTCTCGACGAATCTTTATTAAGCTCGTTTACGTTGATACGAGTTCGCCTCTTAGATGAGCTGCGTCACCAGGAGTTATTCGGTGAGCTTAGTGGCCTGGCTCGCTTGGATCCAATCGGCGGTCCATTGCCAGAGCTAGATGTGAAGCTGGTCGCAAAATTCAAGTCTGGGTTTTCTGGCGCCCATATGGTCGATGCTTGCCTGGGGTTTGGTGTGTCGTCAGCCTGTAAAGATTGCAACGCGTCGTGTGTCTCCGGATCGTCTCCAGAATTATCGTCACAGGCATCGGCGATTTGTGCCTGGAGAAAATCATGCGCATCTTGTTGGACCTGCACCCGACCCTGGTTATCGGCCATATGGTCCGACCATTCGTCCTTTAACTCTTTCAACGAGTGAACCGCGCTGGGAACCAAAACTGAGTGGATGGATTGTTGGATTCAAGGGTCACACTTTGTTCCCTTGCCCATTGTCAGGTTCACAAGGCGCAACCCCCGTCTTGCTGTCAGGGTTACAGCATGCAATCCCCTCTTTCTGTGTTAAGGTCAAGGCTATAACATGCACTCCGGTTCAATCGCAGGGGTTACAATTTGCGATCCCTCAACCAACACCATCTACAAACGGGACACCTATGTGCACAAAGCATTAACCTACGCTTGCCGTTTCAGAGTAGCGAACGCAAATACAATACAATCACTTTCAAGTTTTACAGCATGATATAATGCTGTTTCGAGACCATGTGAACGTAGCATACTCATTGGGTGGTTGAAAATGGGATCATTCTCAAGGAGATACCGCTCCTTTAAGGAGTCTTATCCAACATACAAAAGCCGAACTCCGGAAATTTCAGTACCTATTCGGAACACGGAGTCTTGCTTCCGCATGTTCGGCCATCCGTGCTGCTCGCCAATCAGCTTCCACGATCTCTCCTCGCCTGAATAAACTTCCGGTGAGTGGTGTTGACAAGTCGGAGCGGCAGCTGCGTGTTCCTTCGTGTTCCAGGAGCCCTGATGTACATTAAGCATGCCAAGTTGAACTGACCAGCTTGAGGACGACGGTGTTAGATAACTTACGGCAAATGCACCATTATCGCAGCCTTGAAGTGAACCAGGGAGTCTGCAGTTTACCGAAGAGGGAAGCGAGTGAGGTTGCATCATGATGTTACGACAGGTTGTCTATGCTTCATGGTAATGTGGCTTGCAGAAAAGCTGTTGGTTGCGCTTCACATTTCTGAGCCGGAGATTAAGTCAAAGTACTTCAGTTCTCCCGGTTGTAGCGGAAAGAGGCAAGGCGTTGTTGTTTCAAAGAAGAGATAAAGATATCTAATATCTATAAAAGGCCAGCTCAATTCCTCTGGAGCGGACGCTTAACTCATTAAAAGAGTTTACTCTCCCACAAATAACTAATAGTCTTTGAATCTACTAAGCGTTAACGATTATAACAATGTCGAATTTCGCGAACAGAAGCTTTCCCTGGACACGAAAAGCGCAGAGCTCGTCCGAGTCACTCCGTCCGATGGAAATCCTCAGACCTGACTCTTCTTTAATATGGTTCTCTCAATTCCATGAAAAGGATACTAGTGCCGACGTATCGACGGCCACTGATAAGAGGGATGCCAGTAGAGCTCGATCGGAGTCGAGCAACCAGGTCTCTTCACGGCAACAACTGCCGTCCTTACACAGCCTCTTCGGGCCTCCGTCCTCTATTCGTTCGCTTCATTCTCCGTCCGAAAAAGAAACATTGTATCTTGCTCAGTCACCACTTGACCGGTCCCGAAAATCACCTGGCGTTGGAAACAACAGTACCTCATATTTCCCTACGACGGTATCACCTCCAGCTTCACAACCTCGAAGGACCTACGATTCACGTCTAGATGCCCACTCTCTGGCTCGCTGTTACTCTGAACCACGATCTCCAAAATATTATGAGCAGCAGCGCAGCAGGTCTGACTCCAGAGACGAGTGTGAGAGCAGCAAATGGTCGGTTCATCAGGATGTTAGCCGGTATGAGCATTCCTTGGGATCAAGGGATCCCACGTCCCAGTCCCTAGATAGCCGTGCGTGGACTCAGCTTCCTACATCAAAAGGCTCCTCCAGAGATTATTCTTGTCAGCAAGCAACGCAATCTAGCTCTAGTGGGCCGCCTACTCAGGAAGTTTCTGCGGCTTCAGAGGGGGCGCCAACGAAGGATGGCCTTGGCCCCAGAATCTGGACGGGAACGCACTTCCTGCCTCGGTTTGTTCGAGCCGCTGATGTTCCGGGAGAAGGCATGTGCTATTTCTACGATGACGGAAGCCACTGCAAGACTGTGATAGATGGCGAGGTCGTAAATTCCCACTGGGGCGTGACCAAAGCCGGCAAACCTCGAAAAAGACTGGCCATAGCCTGCATTCCCTGCCGTGAGAAGAAGATCAAATGTGATCCTGATTATCCGAGATGTGTCCAGTGCGAGAAACTTGGGCTCGTCTGCAAATTTAAAAATGCGTGAGTGATTATTTGCCTCTTATTTGCAGAGTAGGTTTTGTATATGCTGACAACCCCCAAAGGGCTAGCAAAATACATCGGCTTCCACGGAGGGGAAGGGAAACAGCACACGTGACGAATTCTGGGTAAAGTCTGAGTGTTGGTTGTCCTGACGCATCAAAGCAAGGAGATGCAACTGCTAATGGCTGAACTCTTATTGCGTTTTCGCCGACGCTTTATTAGCTTGCTAGCCAAAGAGGAAGTTGTAGATTTCGCAGAGGCCAGGCTTGGGCTCCGGCGGGCTTCTTGGTATGCGGGCACGCATAAGGAAGATGATACACCGACGCCTAAGTTGGTTGGTAGACGCATTTGACGCAGGGTCGGACGGAGCTTACAAGAGCTCAGGGTTAATCGATTTTCCGACCCGCCGCCACGCGCGCCAGGTGTAACACGATCCTAACGCGTCACTTCTCAGCACAAACAACTTAACTTAGCGACCGCGATCTCCCTCGATGAGATGGACCAAGCAGAAAAAGCGCCCATTGAGGAAAGCGCTATCTGGAAGGAACTCAATACCTTCCGCGCCTCATTCAACTCCATTTGCAGGAGCAGAAGCGTTTCCTGTAACGCCGAAATTCTGAGCCAGCTTAGCAACACGGGTGAGACTGATTGAGTATTCTGACGGACTCTTCTGACTGATCTAGACCTTCGGCGGCTTTCTCTCAATCTTTTGGTTGCGCTGCAAAATCTTCCCGCTGCCCGTGTGGTACCATCCAAGACGGGACCCGGTCCCGTTGAAAATGATCTCCTGAGACTCCTTTCTGCTGTCACGGCGGATAATTTTTTGACTTTGGCCGTATTCAAAGACTGGTCAAGGAAGCACTTACCGACAAGCCTCGAGATACACTAATCTGGGAGCTCGTGTCAAATGCCGTCGTCGAATCTACTCCGCCGCCTCGGGCTATACATTCGTCGACCCAACAAACCCCATGGAGCCAAAACACGAGCAGCTTCGTGAACTCGTCAGAATACCGCCAGAATGTGGATCCCGTCCTTAAACTGGAGCTCGAGCATCTGTATGTCGGAGTCCCGAATTTCTATAGGTCTTTCTTTGGGGACATCCCAGAACTTGACGGGGTTTCTGAGGCGGTCTTCCGCCATTGTACCGAAGGTGACAGTCCACTTTTCAAGGACGGTTGGAGTGGATGGCCAGTGGACGCTAAAGAGAGCGACGTGCTGACTTGGATTGGCGGCTTGATCTCGCAGCTGGAAGCAATCGCAGAGGACCTCATTCCGACTTCGATGGCGAGACGAAAGCTGTTGGCCCAGCCGAGGACACTCCTGGAAGGCTCTACAGGCAAGCGCAGCTTGGATATCGGCTTTGTTGACAGCGACATCATATATAAACCTCACACTACGGATTCAACATATCGTTGGGCACACATCCTAGTTGTCGGCGAACTTAAAAGCAACCCCAAGGCCGATATAGCATCGATTGCATGGATTGATCTGGCAAGGTATGCAAGAGAGTTGCTAGCGGGCTAAAGATACCCGTCGCTTCATTTTGGGATTTACTCTCTGCGGTTCTTTTATGAGGGTATGGGAATACGACCGGCTCGGGGGGATCGCCTCTGAGCAATTCGACATCAACACGAAGGAAGGTGGGCTGCAATTTGTGACTACAATGCTAGGTTTTCTCCGGATGAATGAGGAGATGCTTGGTTTTGATCCTGCAATAATAACAACTGGCACACAACGATATATCGAGATTCAGCGAGACGACAAAACAGAGCGTCTCATCATCGATGAGGTCATGAAGCGCGCACCATGCATTGCAGGCCGAGCGACAACGTGTTGGAAAGCTCATCGCAACGATGATCCACACAGTCCACTTGTCATTAAGGACTCGTGGCAGTACATCGACCGAGCAACGAGAACGGGTCTCAGGAGCAAAGAGCAAAACAGGCACGAGGGCGTTCATGGCCATTGGCGCATTACTAGGTGAACAGCATTCTTTCATGCACGACCTCGAGTCGTTCTTTTGGGTGCTGTTCTGGATCTGCATTCACTACAACGGGCCGCATGAGACCAAAGTTGTTCCACGGTTTGAGAAGTGGAATTACATGGATACGGAGGAGTTGGCTGGGATGAAACTTGGCATTGTAGCTAAGGAGGCGATCTTTATTAAAACAATTGCCGATAATTGCACGCCATACTACGAGCCACTTATCAGTCTGTTGAACAAACTGCGCAAGGTCGTTTTCCCTATGGACAAGCCGTGGGAACGGGAAGATGGTAGACTTTATTCTAAGATGAGAGACCTTCTCCGGAAAGAGCGGGAGGACTTGACTACAGGCATGCTCGCGAATGAATCCCATGAGAAACCTCATGTGGACAGTCGTCGGCATCGCAGCCGCTCCGTAGCATATTATGCGATACCACGAAGCTCCCTTCGGACAGAATTAACAATGCGCTTTTTATGCATACATGTCCCTTCCTCTCCACTGCCTGGTAAGGGTTTATTTTGACCAACAGTTTAGTGTTTCATACGAAAATCAGGCTTTTAATGTCCAGCCTTGTTCCACAGTCAAAATAATTGCTGAGTGTTTGGGCACCAAGCACCTGCCTATTTCCGACTCGGGGCAACATGCGGTAGCAGTGGAGTCGTGATCACATGCCAATTCGCCCCACTTCGTTTTTTTTGATAGGCCACATAACCAGTCCTTAGCGACAAACTGTTCTTCGCGCCCATAGCTTGTCGAGGGCTCACGGGACAGCTTCGAACGTCGGCTTTTATGGGTGTGGTGGTTATTCTAGACGACTAGTACTACTCTCTTTCATGCTCGATGTTGAGGCTTTTCCAGATGTCTTGCCGGTTTTGCGACCCACTATGACTGGCCAGACAACACGCATGACAAACATAATGTTGAGAGATACCCTATGTCTTTATCCTGTCGCTATATCGGAGGGTGATGCTGAAACGGTTCACTTGGGAACTAGACATTCAGGAACTAGACATTCGGGAACTAGACATTCACTCGCACTACATCGGAGTCAGCCAAAACGGGATGGCTGGGCTTCCCTGGTGGCACGGTATATTTTTAGGCAACGTTGTATTTTGCAATCTCTTCGCGAATAGACAAAAGTTCCCCATAAATATTCTGCTCTTTGACGCACATCCTTTGTTTTCAACAACCCAGGTTTTCGTCTTTCGGCAATGAGTAAGTCCATATCTTCTACTTCGTGCTTGCTGAAGGTCGAAAATACAAGAAAAGGAAAGGAGGCGTGACGAGTGAACCGTAATAAGCTTACCTAGTCTTGTTCAACCATTCTGAGTCTTGTCCTTGCCACAAGTCGGGCACGGGTTCCCTTGCACATCGCCCGTGTCCCAGCAAGTCTCGCACTGGGGCATCGTCTGAGAGGAAGTGGCGATTAATGTGGACGGTAAATTTCAAGAAGTTCGTGCGACTATCGCACAATGACGGTTGAGAAAAGTTGGGTGAACAATGACGAGAAAGTTCCAATACGACGATGGTCGGCTTTTTAAGATATTCTCTGTCCGCCCGACCAGGCTTCTAGCGCCACTAGCTAGCTGGATTGGGCATTCACCTCCACGTCGGCCGTATTAACTAAATTTCCGAGCTGCGAGCAACAAAATCCTTAATAAACCGCCATCCCCTCACTACACGGCAAAAGGCAGCTGAAGCAATTTGCGTCTTTACTTTTTTGACAATGTCAAATCCGGCACATAACCGATCAGAATGTACTTGCTCCGCTGTCTTCCCAACCCGTGTTGCCCTAGACGCTCATCTTGACGAATACAAAGTCAGTAGCTCGTACATTGGACGGACACAGCTAACTATGGCCAGAGCCGTGAGAATTACTTCAAAACCGAGATCGAAAAATGCCAGAACCACTCTACGGTCCTACGGACTCATCGCCAGCAAACTGACAGCTCATTAACCGACAGCGACGAGGATAATGAACCTGCCGTATTAGGTCGGATAATCAAGGGCCGAATTTGCCCTTACAATGGATGTAGTCGAACAAATCCTTTTTCAAAACGAAAAGAACTCAGAATACATTATCGGAAGCGTGAGACGTGACTCTTTTTTACAGAAATTTCAACGAATTCTGATATGTCGCTCGCAGATGTCGAGTGTAACGAAGTATGTGTATATTGTCACCAAGTTTTCAGATTAGCAAGTGCATACCTTCGTCATGGCCACAAGGACTCAGGCGATGACTCTTCGAAGAGCACCTACACAGTTCAAAGACGTAACATGATTATCAACAAAGTGGACGAAGAGCTGGCGCTGGCGGAAAACACTATGAAAAGGAATCAAGAGGCTGTAGAACTGGATCTCAACACGGCACCAAGCGCAAAACGCAGATTGATGGAGGTTGATGCTGCAAGTAGCTGCTTGCAAGGAGTTTATAATGCCGACTTCCAGCATCTCCGATCATCTAGCACAATGCCACTTATACGTGCAGACTGGCAATCAACGCCGGCTCCAGCCGAAAGTAGCGTCGAATACCCGACCATGGAAACCATTATGGGTAACTCGCCCCAGGGAGTGTCCCATCCCGAAATTGGAGAACCGACAGCAGGATTCGACAACTTGGACTATATCGCACCCGTAAATATGATTATCAACCTTCCGCCAGCATTCCACCCGGCATGGCCCGGATGGACATGGAATGAAAATAGAGATTCAGCCAATGGAGGCACGGACAGTCATGTAATTAGCGAGCAAATCATTTAGGCTCTGTCGCTAAATAGTCTTTAAATGCAAAGTTAACTCCGATTTCCGCACTTTGCATGCTGTCAACCTTCCGTTCCAGTACGCCTGACTTCGGCAGCACCATTTTGGGCCAACTCTTAATTAGATCCTCTGTCACAAATTCGAACTTTATAGCATATCCTTGCTTGATTTCGTAATTCGTCCGGGCATCGAGGATGACTCTGCAACATGTCAGAACGGCAAGCCTTTGTAACCCAAAGCGGTGACGCACAATCCGCCATCTTCAAAATACTTCTCGGTAGCCATACATCCAGCCTCGGAAATGGCAGATGGAGCAGTTTCCCAAAGTAGCCGCTTCCCTTTAGTAGCAGGTAGCTCCAGCATATGCGATCGTGGGAAGTAATTAACTCTCGATCCCTTGGCCCATAGATGAATCACGAGTGCACAACGGCCCGCCCTCTGGCCTCCCCGCATGAAGCTGACGATATGCCCCGGGTATGCTTCGTATCTCAACCAGTGTGCCAGGACACACCTTCTGAAGGTTGACTTGACAATGGATCTGACACGCTGAACGACGTTAGATAACTATCACAAAGCTCACTGCCAAACCTACCTCATTCTGAAGTACGTGTGTGTTGCAAAAATCCAAGCCATACTCCGTCGAGAATGGGAAACGCCTTTTCTCCATATCTAGGATATGTTCACCTATTGAAGAGTCTTCCAAATCGACCAGACCCTCGTCTTCCAGGGTCTGGCTTGCGGCCTGCAGTGAGAACGTTGTTGGCACCATCGCATTCATTCTCACTTGTCCCGCATCCAAAATGTCTCGATGCCCCTCAATTTCAATGTTTGTCATATCGGGAAATCTATTTCTCCGACAGCTTCGTGCCGACGCTTGATTGAACAGGGGTCGCAAGCTGCGACCCACGCAACCTGAACCCTGAACAGGGGGGGATCACAAGTGAGACCATGCAAGTACATACTGTAATGCATGGCTGAGACCATCTCCTGCCTCCAAGCATACAATTGTTGCGCTGAAAAGAGCAAAAGTGTAGGCCTACTGAATTCTTTCCAGCAGCTTCAACGATAGCTTGTATGCTACGCGACAACAATGTGGCAATTCCAGGTTTTTTTCTCTTGACTAAATAACCACCCATTCAACAATCTCCATCATGGAGGGATGAGACCGACTAATGGTATGCATAGCTTACATCTACGCCACATATACAAATAAAGAGAACGATGATTATCCGAACGTTTAGAATGCCGACATTCATTCATTCAGTATGTTTGCTTTGTCCTGCAGGCAGGGGTGGCAAAATGCAACCCTTGTTCCCACAGTCGTCTTGTCGCATTCCATGGTAGAGTACATCTGGTAAGGTTAGTATCTGTCACAGCACCATCACGACTTGTCTAAGACACTCACGTGAGCATAGATCATTAGCGCACCA